TGGCGAACTCTACGCTGTCGTTGACATCCCATCCGTTGTCCGCGTAATCCGTGACCGAAATCCTCACAAACAGTGGCATTGATTTGGGGATCACTTCCCGCACCCGACGGGCCGTCTCTAAGCCGAAGCGCATTCGGTTTTCCAGAGAACCGCCGTATTTGTCAGTTCGTTGATTAGACTTGGGTGACAGCCATGTGCTTCCCAGATAACCATGGGCGTAATGTAATTCAATTATCTATATAAAGTACATAATATACAAAATTAATTATTATACATAATTACTCTAAATTTTATAAGTTCCATTGTTTTAAACATACCTCAAAGCCAGCCTTAACTGCACGCACAGCCGCGGATACAAACGCGCGCTGAAGTACTTCAATGTCCACACCTGTGGCCTCTTCGGGTACTTTATTAATATCACCGCCAAATGGTATAGCACTGGGAGCTATGGTGGGCCAACCGCCTTCATTGTCCGGTAATGATCTTTTGGCGTTTGACCAAATGACTGGTGTACTGCCTTTGCGGCCCGAGTGGGCCAATTGTATGGCAGGAACGGCACCCTGTGATTTAATGAGGGTAGTAATCCGACGCCACCCATCTACCTGCTCATCATTCCAGATGCCAGTGTCGGCCGGTGTGATGCGGCCCCGGGGCTCCACAGCCGTAGCCTCCGTCATAACGAGTCCGGCACCACCCAGGGCAAATGACCCGTAATGAGCCACATGAAAATCATTAGGTATTCCGTCCACCGCTTGCCACGTGACCATTGGTGATACACCGATACGGTTCTTGAGGGTTACCCCGTTTATTTTTAGGGGTGAAAATAATAGTGATTTTTGCTTATTATCTTGATCGTTCATAATGATGTTTTAATTTGTGAACTTCAGTTATAAATTACAAACAAGTTAACATGGAAATATAATTTTTTGTTTTCATTAACGAGCATTTATATGTCTGCTGTTTGAATCGCACTGATTATCTTTAATGCACTGTTTACAAACTTTTAACCATGTGACATAATTTATTAAGTTCTTAAAATGTTCTCGGCACATAATATAAGTAATTGCCAGTAATATATTTTAAGTGCATTTTGAGTGTGTTTTCTATGGTGTTAGTAAAAAATAATTATCAAACATTACTAGAGCAACCAACTAAATACAGTAAAATTCAATTGCTTTTAACTTATGATCAAATGATTTTTACGAACGCGCGCCAACGGTCAAATCATTTTTACGTTCAGTCAATTCATTATGACATCAGTGAGAGTTGTATTGCAAGCACTGCGACAATAATCGAATGAAACGTCGCACTCTTTCAATGACTGCATTCATTGCATACAACACTCACTGATGTCATAATGAATTGACTGAACGTAAAAATGATTTGACCGAAGGTGAGCGTGAGTAAAAATCATTTGATCATAAGTTAAAAGCAATTGAATTTTACTGTATAAACTAAGTCAAAATTATAAGTCTAAATAATAATAATAATAATAATATTTATATTAGATTATTCAGCATCAAAGTTATAATTAAAGCGTTCACATATATGTGGTAATAAGCCCAAAAATATGTAATATAATATGTGGTAATAACTCGAAAAATATGTAATTATATGTGGTAATA